CCTCCCACCTCCCCACCCCGCTTGCTTATCCCGGTTCAGTATCTGAATTCCACAGACCACGGGATTAAAACAAACAAGTAAAAAAAATAGAGCCTGAAACTCCAAATGCCAGCAGGGGTGGCCCTCAAGTTAAGGCACGGAGACCTTTCAACAGGCAAATGTTACCTGTTCATGACGGAGGTGTGCAAATTCCACGTGCCTCACATTACAGAGGACACTTCACTCCCCTCACCTTGTGTGTGCCAATCTGTGTGCTAACAAATGGGTGAGAGGTTCCTTCTCCCAGGGCTGTGCCCAACAAGGTCCTCTTAGGTGGGTTTGCGGATTTCTATGTGAGGCTCTGCTACCCCCTGATGGCACAGCTCCATCTCCAGCTCTCAGCAGTTGGTAAGCGTGGACCTGAGAGTCTAACTGGGAAATTCAATCTTACAAGTCCTTCTATCTGAAGGCATTTATTCAAGGACTCCTTCAGAGCAAGCCCTGCTCACAAGCCCTTCCAGTCAGCTTTCTTCCTCCCCACCCCACCTTCCCTTCTCCGAAACACCCCTTCCACCACTAGATTAGCTTCCTCCTTCAGCTGCACCCTTTTCAACTCCCTTTTCTCGTAGGAGGTAAGTGCCCCGCAGGCACCTTTGGCTTCTGCAGAAACCTCCTGGCTGGGCTTTCATGTGCCCTGTAGCTCACGAAACATTTTGCCTTTTCTAGACCAACTTCTCTATGAAACTTCCTCGATCGTAGACAAAGGTTTCAATTTGTCTTCCCGAGTTTTCCGCTTTCGGAAATTACTTCCAACTTGAAAGGGGTAGAATAGGCAGAGCCAGGACACGGGTGCCACCCAGGCCCCACCCCTGAGTCCCTGGGGGAAGACGCCAGCCCTCCTCTTCCCCAGACTGAAGCTCAAGAGAACGGGCGCCCTTGGCCGAGAGAGTTCAGGTGGCAGTCATCTCAAAGCTCGCCTCTGAGTGACAGAGAGAGGACTTGCCTGGCCTCCCAGGTTCCTGCCTGACCCCACAGGGGGCAACTCCAGAGCAGAGGAGAAAGGAAAAGAAGGATGATTTGCATGAAAACAAAGTGCACATCCCACAGGGCCAAGCTCCTCAATGGACAAGAGGCAGTTAGGAAAATAATGTTTCCCTGTTTCCCTGAGAATCACTATCTGGCTTCAGGGAGGTGTTGGGGGAGAGGAGGGAGGGTGTGCAGTCCTCTCAATGGTGAGGAGACTGTAAAAGGCCTGAGCCCACCCTACCCTGTGCCCCCCACCCCTACCCCAATCTTCTGAGGAGCTCAGGAGAGTGGTTCTCAACCACTAGATTCATCAG